GGTGATACGTACCGGGGCTCTTGCTGCCGTGCGTGCGTGTGTCTCGTCTGCCACAGCGTCTGTCTCTGTCCTCTCTGCGTGTAAGAGTGCAGCTTGAATGTGTGTAACCTTGCGGAATGGAGACACGCCATGCCTGGAATGGAGGATTGATAACTTGATACGTACGGCGCTCAATGGACCGATAGAGTCTTGTGCCAGCTGTGCTGTTGGTGTGAGACACGGGCACAGGCCGCCGGTGCAAGCTTCGACACTTAGGCAGGCACAATCTGCCAGTGTGTGTGTGTGTGCCTCTTTTCTTTCCAGTTGCCTTCATTACCCAACGCGCGGATGAAATGTATGATGCATATGAGACACAGTGCAAAATGTGAGAAATGATGATGGCCGTGAAGAGCTCGCCAAAAGCCTGGCAAGGGAAAAGCAAGAAACAGCAGGCCGGCGCTGGCACCCCGGTCGCCAGCTCTCCGCTAGCCAGGGAAAAAGAGCCCACACAGTGAGAATGAGCAGCGAGCCAGCGACTGACGTAAGTTAGGTATGCACATCTCGCTTGGATGGCATAGCCAAGTGGCTAATCCTCTCATCATAAAAAAGAGGCGCTGAGACAGGACGATGCAGACGAGAGATGTGCAAAAAGCAAATGTTGAGCAGTTCTGAGGAGACGGACTCGAAGCCAGAGGGGACTAGAACTGCGGGAGGACTGAACGAGTAAGAGCGTCCGGAATGTGTGAGCAGGCCAAGAGCCATTGGCAGTCATACAGAGGGAGGGGAGGGGGAGGGGAATCAGGAGAGACGGATTGATAGTGTGGACTGTAGTGAGAGCTGGAAGTGACAGAGAGGCTGAGAAAAGGCCAGGGACTTGAGTCAGGGCCAACCGTTGCAACGCTCGTCCGAGTGAGTCTAGAGCGTTGCGTTGGGTTGGGTGAAGGAGCGGAAACTTTGTTGCGTGATTGAAAGAAAGAGTAGAAAGAGGGTGAGAATTCAATTGGGGGGAGGATTAAACGGCCAAACGGGCAAAACTGCAAGCGGACGAAACCCACACACCATCCAATTGGTAGGATCTGCGAATGATGCTTGCTGCTCATCACTCAATCTCATTGGCCTCGAACCCATGTGCAGCTCAGGCTTAGGTCATCGGGTCGCCCATTCAGAGCCTCGACAATGCGAGAGAGACTCGAGCTTGAGAGAGCAGATCCCGGCAGAGTGCGATGAACAAGGGTTGAAGGGCTCAAAAGGATGCTTGAAAGGAAAAGCGGGGACCGTTCGGGTCACCAAGTTTAGACACAGCTTCCCAGTCCCAGTCCCAGTCCCAGTCCCGGTCCTGGTCCCGATCATGAATGATCACTGACAGGGGACCAACCCACCACCACCACACCCTTCCGCACATCGCCCTCCTCGACCTCTGTCCTGCTCTCTTGCTCTTGCTCTGTCTCCTTCTCTGTGTTTCTGACGCAGAGAGAGCCAAGGCCAACAGCATGGTGACCACACACACCACGCCCACGGATGTTGGCCCCCGGCCGAGACTGCTGCAGGTCGGATGCAGGTCAACAACCACTTGGGACGACCCATACGTCGGCGGCCTTCGCCCTCAGCCTCCGATATGACGGGCTGCATCTCCGGGACCACTCCCAAAGACTAGACACACAGGACACGATAACTCGTAGGAGCCAGCTCCGACACCAAGGGGCCGTGACGGTGGCTAGCGTCACCCCAAGCGTCCGCAATTCGCGTCTATCGGCGCGCTACTTGGCGCGCCCGCCTGGGGGGTCCGCCGCCAACTCTGTGTCTCTTTCTCTCTCTCACTTCTCTTTCGTCCGCTTGCTCCTCCTCTGCCTCTTGTCCCCTCCTCTCCACCACCATCACCACCCCAGGCCTGCAGTCAACTCACTCAGGCACACCAACATCCGTGCATTGCATCCAAGACTCGTCTAATCTTTCTGTATCACACCTGCAGCGTAGCATTCGGAGATTCACTTGAATCTCATCCCATGTCGGTGCAGCTGTGATTTTCCAAATAATTCTGGGCAAAATACTCAAACTGTGCAGCCTGCAGCGTCGTCATCGAGAAAGAGAGAAGGAAAGTGGTCGCTCGTTATCCACTCTTGTTCCTCGCTCCCCTGGTCGAGCTGCAGCATGTTCTCAGCCCATCCATGATCGACGACAAGCTGCCGAAGCCGAGACTCAGGCGGACAGGGGTCGACAAATCCCATCCCACTCCATCACCCCGTGAATGCATCGTCACGGCTCGCGAACAGGGCCGAGCTTCTCTCTCCCAGACTGATGAGAATGGCGGCATCCGGGATCCGCCCTCTCTCTAATCCATGCCCTCCTCGCTCGCTTGTCGAGTGACACGGGCCCGTGGAGAAAGGGGCATAATCGCTCCTAGGAAACAGACGCCATTGTGAATAACCCCAGAATAGACTTCGCTCGTCGCCGGCTGAAGGGCGGGGCCACCACGGCTTTTCCCCTCCTCTCCCCACTGCCCCTCCTCCTCCATCAATGGGAGCCCGCACCGGCCTTCGTGCCTGGTGCTGGCTTATGCTCCTTGACCTCTTGTCCAAGATTCCCCGGTCGAATGATAGCCGGGCCTTTCTTGGTAGATCCGATCAACGCCCGAAGTGGCATTTGACAGGACGTCCGTTTTGGGACGAACTCGCTCACGGCCTTTGTTCATCCCGCAATATCCCCGGAGAAAAATCCAACGGTCGACGATCATCGCCTCTTGCTTCATAGCCAAGGCTGTGGCACTGACAGAGCTCAGCCGTTGCTCCCGCGTCCTGGACTAGATTGTGCGGCAGCCCAGGCACATCCATCAAAAGCGTGTGTCCCTGGAATCTGAACGTTGTCCAAACCCCGAACCAAGGTGCCACAACACGCATTTCTCAAATTCATGATTCAACCCCATCGCGCCTCAATCTTAGTGCCATTTCCTGCCCTGTCCCTGGGAAAGAGGCACATCGAACGCCGTAGCAGCAGGCGGAAAAAGCAGGCCACACACAACCTTCGGCCGTTAGGCCACCACCGAGAACTGACACAGCACTACCTCCGCAACTCCATATTACCATGAACACACTCAAGATTGAGTCTGCGGCCTCGGCTTTTGCCGCCAATGGTGCCTCCCCGGGCCAGACGCCAGTTCGCTCCACAGACCTCCGGGTGCCTGGGGACGAACCGGCGCGGAAATTCTCCTTTTCTCGCGCACACCTTCCGTCCAGCATCATATTCTTACTTTTTCCTGTAAACTTGGCGCACACGCGAGAGGAATGCTGGGCGTCGTCCACGTCTGTTGATCCAACACCCTCAAACACGCGCGTGGGAGAACCTCTCTCTCTTGCTTTTCCCCTCCTCTCTCTGCACTTCCAGGTTTTTCGTGCTTTGCCACAACGGCCACGAGGAACGCACAACTCTCGCGCGAACGACTCACTTCCGTGGTCTCACCATCCATGGTCCCGCGTAACCGCGTTCCTCGAGGTACCTGGGAGCACGCCTGTCTCTCGTCCAGACGCCTAGCCTTTTTCCATGTAGTGTACCTCTTTTTCTGGTCCTCTTTCTCCGCCGTACGGCTGCTAGTCCGTCTCTTCCTTCGCTCGCCTGCCAAAAGCCTCCACCGGCCATTGTCGCTAGATTTGATTCAATCAGATCTCTGTACGACCGCGCATACGATTCAGATTCAAAACTAGAGCTCATCATCGCCTCCCCTCCCAAGGCCCCTGTGAACATCCTCCCGAAAGGGGGAACAGTAAATCGTCCGCCGTCTGTTCGCTAGCCCGTAACTCACCAGCATCTGTCACGCAACCCGCCAACCTGGGACGGTGGGCGGACAATGCGTACTTTCCTTTCCACCTCAATAAAGGATTGTGATAGCTCACATCTGTCATGTAAGCAAATGCCCGATGTCGACTGCTCGGCACTGACACCGCTTGGACCGTAGCCTCGATTCGGCTGGGATTGTCTCTAATCGGGCCTCTGAGTGGCCCAATATTGATTGCATCCTTGCAGCAGACCAAGTCTTGCCCCCTGGCAGGATGTGTGGGTGAAAGGGCTGTTTCTGCAGAGCGCCGCCGCCGCCCCGGCTGGTTTCTCCTACCCCTGGTCCAATGATGATGATGTACTGTAGATGTCGGAGACAGCAAATAGTTCGTCCACGATTCTCCGGGTCGGGCAGATCAAGGGGTTTTCTCGATTCCCATTCTGCAGCCTTGGAGAAACTCCGCAATTGCCATGATGGGAAAGTCGCGATTGAGGGGTTTTCAGACCTACCCTCGTCAGCGGTCTCTCAGCGCCATGTTCGGTGCAACGGCCCAATAAAGTCGGATGATTTTGGGACCTCCTCCATCTTGTGGCTTGAAAGCTTGCGCCGGGAATAGATGCTCGAGATGTTGTCTTGCTGATGAAGCCACCACAAGTCCCTGAAAGAGGGGTTCTAGGGGTTCTCGTCGAGCCAGCACGGCAAGAACGACCCCTTTGCTGGTACCTGGGCTCTGGCGAGCATCAGGAATGTTATCGGCCGCGTTTCTCCACTGATGGGAGGCCGTCGTTTGAGTGCTGTTTATCCCGCGGACACCAGCCTGCCGCCGCGATTCTGGCACATTTCTACCGGTTCTCCACCCGTGGCCGGAAGGTCTGGTGAAGGCGTCTCGAGAAGCTAGGAGTAAGTCAATTATCACAATGGGCCGAATGCCCTTTCTTGGCGCCTGAGTCGGTTCAAAGACTCTGTGTTCGTGTCTCCATGTCTTGCTGCCCCTTTGCACATGTTCACTCGCGAAAGCCGACCCCATAAGTTCGGTCTAGTGAACCTTGGGCCGTCCTCGACGGTGGCTAGGTCGAGCATGTCGTTCCACCCTCATTCAATATTGCTTTTGTCTGGGACTAGACGGCGCTCACGATATTCTAGAAGGGAACCAGGTTAGCACGAGAGAAGAGATCGCCGATGAAGGGCACCGCCGGCGAGGCCTGGCTGAGATGGAGAGTAAGGCTTTTTTTCTTTCTTGAATCGATGCTGCATCTTACTCGACTGCCTCCTCATTCTGAGCCATAACCTCATTGTCCATGTCGTCCAAGACTTCCTGCATCTCCTCCTCCGTAGCATCCAGTCCGTCAGAGCTCATGAGCTTGTTGTCCTTGTCCTCGGCTATAGTCGAGTTAGCAATCGGCGGCCTCTCTTCGGGGCCTGTAAACTTACTCTTGGCTTCCACAATGAGGTTCTCCTGAACCTCAACATCTGTAAGGGTTGTTCCATCTCCGATGACACATCTCTTGCCCAAAATGCATCTTGTGAGCTTGCAGTTCTTGCCGACTTGGGCTCCTTCCATCAGCAGACACTGAAGGAGCTTCGCGCCCTCGTTCAACTGGCAGCCGGCGCCAATCACAGACTCCTTGATAGAGACCTTCTCCTCAACGGTGACGTTCTCGGCGATGAGACAGTCGGCTTTGGTAATAGTCGTGCGACCCTTGACTCCCTCTGGATAGGCCACCTTCTTGGCGTGAGCGAAAGGTGATGCGGCGTCAACACCTGTCTCTTCCACTGAGGGCAGCTTTGCAAGATGCAGTGAGAGGTTCAGGAGAAGCTTGGAGGTGTCGACACGTCGGACCAGCGGTGCATCCGCTTGAGAAGGGTGAATGTAAGCGAGGATCGGGGGCACTGTGAGGTCGCTGTGAGTGTTTCCAGAAGCGTGGTCATTGCTGTCCATCTTCTTGCCGTCGTCTCCACCGGGGATGGTGCGAAGCTCCTCCGGGTCGTCGTCCTGGGGTGATGTCGTACTCTCCTGGACGGAGTCCTCATCGTCGTCCTCTTCGTCTTTGCGAAGCACCTCGTCCAGTTGCAACTTCTCAGCGAGACCAGTCTGCCAGCCAGCCTTTGCCCACCATCCGATGACATCCTCGCCAAAGTTCTCCAACCGCTCATTCTTCTCCACGAAGTCCATGACCCATCTCGGGAGGATGTAAAGGTGAGCGTCTCTGTGTGTGGTGAGCATACGTATCCTGGGATGACTTCTCATCAGGCCGTGGCGAATAGGAAGTCCCTTCTTCTCCTCGGTTAAGTCCTTCAAGGTGTCTGTGGGCATAGAGTAGACGAGGTTCGAGAGATGCGGCAGCAACGATCCCTTTGGCGGTGCAACAGCGGAGGGCGCAGATGGCGTAACAGCGACAAAGTCGGTCTCCTCCTTCTTGACGGCCAGGGCTGTCTTTGTCTCGTACCATACTCCGAGGCCGCCGCTGAAGGCACTGGAGCTGTTGCCAGAGAACTTGGGTGCGCCGAGGAGGTCGGACATGCTAGCTCCCTTGACCATCCATGCTTGCAGCAGCTTCTCACCAGCAACTTCGCAAATGAGATCGCATGGAAGAATGACAAAGTCGGACGTGACAAGCTGCTTCACCTCAGGCAAACGGAGGATCTCGGCAGTACCAGTGGTCTGGTCGAGGTCCTTGGGCGCGAGGATGTCTGGCCTAGGCAGGGGCAGTGCAGTCAAGTGAGGGTTTGTGTTCAAGGCGGTAGTGATCGCCTTCTCTGCTGAGGCGGGGCAGATGAGTGTGATATCTGGAAGAGGTCAGCCTCGTGCGGGTAGGAGCGGATGGCGGGGTAAGGCTGAGATCATGCTCAGGCGACGACCAGCCGAGACAACTCACTTGTAATTCCCATGCGGTAGCAAAAGTCAATGGGATACCAGACCATGGGGCGGTTGGCAATGGGCAGCAGCGCCTTGGGGTTTTCATCGGGGTTGGAAGTGAACGTCGGGAACGAAGACCCTGGGCCGCAAAGCACCAAGGCTTGGAGCCCTGGTGAGGGCATCGACACAGCGTGGGGCATCTTGAGATGCGATGGTGGGGTGTTTGCGTCTGCTTCGAGGGGTCCTCGGAGATCCTGCCGAGCTCTGAAATGGGTACAAGAGGGATTGCCGAGTTCGCGCTAGCAATTGCAGACTCGGATGGTGTTGTTATGGGCTGTATGCGCCGTGTTTGCGACGTCAATGCCAGGGCCGACTCAGTGACTATTTTTTGATAATCGGCCGCTGGAAGGAGTCATCGACCAAAACTCCGACTGTGACTGTGAGTGGGAGGCACGGGCTCTGTGGACCCACTTTCACGTCCTGATCCGGCGCGTCATGGTGGGGAGGCTGCACGTGACGAACTTGATAGCGAAAAACGGCTCATCCTCGGCCCGGCAGATGTCGCGCTGTCAGCTGCCCAGGACCTGTCAGCTTGTTTTGGCCCGGCAACCAATGGCAGCCAGAATCAACCTCGGGATCCCCCTGGGGCCTTAGCTCCTCGTCATCCAGTGTGTCCCCATCCATATCCCCATTCATACATCCCATGTTGATGCGCACCCCAAGCCCAGCCACCCGAGCTCGCGAACAAGTGGGCGATTTCCAGCCCACCTCCTCGTTGCGATTTTCTGTCGTGTGACACCATCCGTTTGCCATTACGATCACGGGCGGCTCATTGAAGCATTGATCTTTGGCGATTCACCTGCGGCAACCTCCAAATCCACACCGTCTGTTCGAAGCACCCAATTGCCGCCAGTAGCTCCCGAAAGCTCGAAATCCACTACCGATCTCTAAAGAATATACGTCAACTTGGGCCCCGCGTCCTGGTGCAATGGTCACGCCAATCTAAATGTCGTGGAACGATCAACACTCTCGGCGTCGCGGGGTATGGAGCCATTGGGTGCCGCTCGCAGTCACTGTGACTGTCGCGACCGTTGGTCTCGCAGCCTGGGTCTGGAGCCAGCGCAAGGATGAGGACGAGAATCCCGAGACCGACCACGTCAGAGACCTCGACTACGATGCCGCCGACTTTGGCGGCAATACTGCCTACGATTCCTCCAGAGGACCGAAGCCGCCATCAAGCAATGTTGGGGCCGAGACCTACGGCACCACTGGCGATGCGTCCCGGGATGCCGATGTCAGCGCAGAGACGTGGGGTGCGCGCATGTCGGGCGCTTTGAGACGAACTCCCAGCCCGCAGCAATTCTTCGAGTCCGCCGGCAAGACTGTGACGGCGGGTGTTGCTGCAGCAGGTGCTGTCGCCGGACGCGCGCTTGCAGCTATCCGCGAGGAAGATAAAAACGCCTACGCCGACCACGAGACGTGGTCTGAGGAAGCTGATGCCCGCAAGGAGCGATCCTCCGCTCCGAGGGAGCCAGGGAAGCGAAGGAGGACTGTCGCCATTGTGGTGTCTGCAGACAGCCATGGTGATGACTTTGATGACGATGGATTCCATGAGCATGCCGTAAGGGACTCCTTCTGAACCGAGACCTCATTCTTTGTTGCTGACCTTGCTTTAGTCAATCCTGTCGCATATTCCACGCTACACTGACTTCTCCAGCATTAAGCTCTTCGTCTTGATCTACGCCCCTGGTCTTAAGGAGACCGCAGGTGAACCTTCGAGTAACCGCCCGCCACCTTCGCTGAGCTCGTCCTTCTCTAACATTTCCCACCACCAAGCCCAAACTCCTGGAGATGAGCCAGCAAAGAGCCCTCTGATGAACGCCTCTGCCACAAGCCCTGCTTTCAACGCTGTCTACTCTCAGGCCTTGGCTCTGGTTGAGAAGGAGACAATGGTGCTACCCTTTACTACTGCCAATGGACATACCCATATTTTACGCCACTTGCAGCCCGAGATCGTGTATCTCCAGGAGTCTTTGGCGGGCGAGAACGGCCAAATGGTGTCCAGCCTCCAGACTTGGCTGCGTCACGACATCGTTCTGGTTGTGGGTGCCGACAACGGGCACGGTGGTCTTGCCGACAGCGAGTCGGAAGCGGAGAAGCCAGAAGAAAAGTGGTGGCAGCGTCCGGACCGGGTCGGCCGGGGCCGCGGCGTTGTGGTCGTTGATGGGATGCGGGTCCACGATGACTGGGCACGCCGCGTCCAGGGACGGGAGTAAATATTGCCTCCGCTGTACAAAAAAAGCTTTCACGTGGAACGAAGGCCGTATGATGGGAGGCTACAAAGGGCAGGAAGGGTTTGGAAATGTGTGTTTTTATTTGGATTGGTATATACCACGATATCATGTGACGTTTATCATGAGAGCAGAGAGTCATCGTAATCGACCGTTCAGATTGCGACTCGCCGGGATTTCCTTTCTTGAGAGTGGTTGCTTCAGCATAGAAGGGCCTTGGGCTTATCCTGAAATCAAACCCAGGTCTCTCCTTCTACTTTCTAGCGTCTGGATTGTGCCAGTCAGTTCGTCGTCTGCTTTACTTCTAGATATGGCTCTGCAGGTTCCACGCCCCCAGAAAGTCGGTTCTACCGTGCACGCACTGTGCTCTTACGGTGAGTCCGCATCCGGGGTTTTGCCTGAGGCCTTGGCCAGCCTGCGGCTTGGGGCCTGCCTCCAGCGTCCAGCAGCGTCCAGTCGAGTTCCACGTCCTGTCCTCCACGCTTTGCACCCCCCGTCTCGGAGATGCGGCGGTTCCTCCTTTGGAGATAGAGCCTCTTTCGCGGAAGCCTGACTACATCCCAACCCCACACGCATCGAACCCATCAACCTGAACGAGAGTGCATCTCTTTTTGGCCTCATTTCTCAATCCTTAACTTTTATTATTCACTTACGAGCAGGTTTTGCGACCCTTGCGACCCTCTCGCGACCCGGATTACGCTTCTCCACGCCGACGTCACCCGATTTGTCCAACGCGACCACGAACCACGATCGCCCATCCATCAACCTCTGACCCCCATCCATCGCGATCGACGAACCCCATCCCAGCTTCAAATGAGTACTTCTTGATACGACCTGTGCATCATAGAATAGCAACATATCGACAGTCGCGACACTTCTCAGCCTCGTTGCGGTCCGGTAGCCGCCCCATCCGGCAACATGGCGCCGGTCGTGACGGCAATCCAGCCGCCGGCTGTCGCGTCCAAAATCAAACGTCCAGTGCCCCCTGGCATCCAGACCAACGGAGCAAGCTCCATCAAGTCATCGCCCTCTCCATCGATGTCTACCAAGAAACCACCAAATTCCGCGACGATGAATGGTGCGAATCCACAATCTGCGCGACCCGCCAACCGCGTGCGCCGCGAACAGTCGGCCCAGGGCGGTCGCAACTCTAGGAACAGTGCAGGGCTGCGCTCAGCCTCGCTCGCCGCCGACATGGCTGCGGCCCAAGCCGTTGAGCCACCACCTTATGGTATGTACACTCGAGGTGGGCATCATGACGCGTTGCTCGTGCTAACATCATCGACACAGTGGTCACGCCCGAGTACATCCTGAAGAAATACGCCGGCAACCCTCCATCCCTTGTCGTACACATGCACCAGAACCACTTCCGGTTCGACCAACAAGACGGTATCTTCCAGTACAAGTCGCCCATGCAGATTTTCCTACAACACCTGCGGCTGCGCACAGTTCCTCACGACCTCCTCGAATACTTCACACAGTGGGGTGTGCCCTTCTACGAGGGGTGCCTCATCGTCCAGGTACATGATCACAAGTCGGTAGCCCAGTCCAAGGATGTTGCGCGACCGACTTCTGCCTCGAGCAACAAAGTAGTTCCCTCATCTATTCACAACCATAACCCATACATTGTACCATCGCCGTACGTCCCGTACCCCAAGGAGTCTCTCGGAGCTCAGCCTGAGCTCGCCCACCAAGAGCATGAGGATACGAAGCACAAGACTGCGGAGGAAAAGGACAAGGAGAGCATGCCAGCGCCCAGTCTGCCGGGGGAAGGCCAAAAGAGCAAGGTTCCTCCAAAGGCCAAGATCTTCACTGTTGTCCTGCATCCAACGGCAGAGAGCCTCCAGGCTGATCTTCTGATCAAGGCTGCGACTCCTCGCGGAGCGGCCGATGGACGTGGAAGCATCGATGCTAACGGCGCTCCCCCTGCAACACCCATCACCATGGTTCCTCCCACTCCCACGGCGGGAGCCATGCCGCCTCCGGCCAAGAAGCAGAAACGTGAGAGGATGGAGTTGGACTCCAGCAACATCTACCTAGCTGAATCTCAGATCCTGCTAGCGACCAATGCTCCTCTCTTTTTGGAGCCGACAAGGGATGTGGAAGAAACGATTGCTCTGCTCGATGCTCTGACCCACCCCAAGCACTCAGATTCTCCTCCCCAGCCAAAGACGAGGAAGCGGACCGTGGCCGAGATGGCTGCCGACGAGGCAGCCGCGGCAGACCAAGAGAAGTACATGCTTACTTTGGACGAGCGCACGTTTACTGCCGCCGGCGGAGCACAGAGTGGGTCGAACGGCGCCGACAAAGAAGGCCCTGCCGTCGTCACCACCTTCGAGCCCAGATTCGAGCGATTCAAGGTCATCGCCGAGATTAAGAGGGAGCACGATGAGAGGAAAGAACAAGAGAAGGCCAAGGCCGCAGAGAACGAGCGCAAGCTCGCTCAAGAGAAACAGAAGCAGATGCAGGAGCAACAGGCTGCTATCACTGCTCAACGCCAAGCCGAGGCCGAAAAGCTGCGGCGCGAGCATATCATGGCTCAGGAGCTCAAAGCTCGTCAAGAGCAGCAGCAAAGAGAACAGCAGCGACGAACCTTGGCGGCTCAGGCTGCTGCGCAGAATCAGGCTCAGAGCCAGAATGCTGCACCGCCCCAACCCCAGCCAACACCTACAACCATGCCAAATGGCACTACGGGAGCTGTTCCCAGCGGTATTCCAGCGCAGACCCATGCCCGTTTTACTCAAGCATCTCAGCCTCCAGTTTCTTCACCAGTCATCCGTCAAGGCACACCTCACAGCATGTCGTCGCCCATGCCTGGCGGTGTACCGATGCAGCAGTCCAATTCGAATATGGCCAACAGCCCTCCTCGGCCGCCTTCGGCAGTTCAAGGCCACCCCCCGAACGTCGGAGGTGTTCCTATGTCTCACAGCATGTCTGCCCGCGCCAGCCAGCAAAGCCATCCCAACGGTACGCCCCGCATGCCACAAGGAACTCCGAGTATGCAGGCAACGCCAGTGCCGCGACCTGCCGTTGCTGCCACGCCTCGCATGGGACAAGCCAGTCCTCCTCCGAATATGATGCAATCAAACTCTCAAATGGGCCAGCCTATGATGAACGTCGGCACACCTGGATCCATGTCGAACCAAATGCATAACCCCAACCTGATCGCAGCTCAAGTAGCCCAACAGCAACGTGCTATTCAGCAACAACAATTGCAAGCAGCTATGCAGAGTGGCATGGGTAACATGATGAATGGCATGAACCCGCAACAGATGACGCCCCAGCAGCAGCAATTTATGCAGCAGCAGATGCACCAGCGCATGCTTTTGCAGCAGCAACAGCAACAGCAGCAACAGCAGCAACAACAACACCAGCAGCAGCAACATCAACAACGCGGTAACATGGGTAATATGATGACGCAACAGCTGGCGGCCCAGTATGCTCAACAACTTAACCGCATGGGAGGCAACCACATGGGCGGCGGTCAGATGACGCCACAAATGCAGGCACAGCTCCAGGTTCAGCTCCAGGCGCAGATGGGCAATCCCATGCAGCGGCAGATGGGTGGCCAGGGTATGATGAATGTGAATGGGCAGAATATCAGCATGCAGCAAGCACAAGCGATGATGCAGTTGCAGCAGCAGCAGCAAGCGATGGGCGGGAATAGCGCTCTCACGAACCAAGTGAAGATGCAGGGAATGGCCATCTACAACAAGCAAATCGCTAACCTTGCTGCCAAGTATGGCGGGAGCGTGGAAAACATCCCACCTGCCGAGATGGAGAACTTTAAGCGGCAATGCATGTTGGAGGCCAAGAACCAGATAAGTAACGTTCTTGCACAGCGTAGGGCGCAGCAGGTGATGATGCAGCAACAGCAGCAGCAACACCAGCAACAGCAACAGCACCAGCAAATGCAGCAAATGCAGGGGATGGGCGGGATGATGGGACCTCACGGAATGTAGATTCTGTGATGAGAGCCATGACGCAAGTGTCCTGACGATTCAGAGTCAATTGCGGAGGGAGAGAACAGCGGATATGCCATGTTAAGAGCGTCTTTTTATTTCGGCGTCTAAGGGACTAGGGGAGGGTTTGGCTGGTTTCGATCTTGCATGATCTTATATACCCCTACGAAGGCGCATCTACCTTATCCTTCAAGGTGCGGTCAGGGACGGACGTCTATTGAATTGGGGGGCTGACGCAAACAAACGGCATATGCATACGCCAGAGCGATTCGGGACTCTGAGAGCGAGTTAATATGTTACTGTGTATATCAGTTCAGTCATCAGTGAATTGGAGTCTCTAATTCAGAGAAGAAAAATTCAGTTAACGACTTGAGATGAGCTTGGTGTGTGGAGACGATTCAATCCAACATTGCGTTCCATGTATGTGGTTGTGTCTTATGTTGATGGGATTCTGGATCCAACTTCCGGCCAGGACTCTTCCACACAATGAAGGTGAAGCCGCCCAGGATGAGAGGGTCCGTGCATACACTCCATCAGCAGCATCACGTGCATTGCATCGCTTAATCTTCGGCATGACGCGGGAGAGACCCGATGATGCAACCCGCTAATGCCGCTAAGGTGCAGGAAACGGTCAGGTTCCACGGCCCACGGCCCAGGTCCAGCAGCAGCATCCAAAGGGGAAGGTGCCGCGTTGGGTCATTCATCCACTGTCACTGACTGACTGCTCTGGCCTTTAAGCCACATGAACCATTCCGTGACCTCGAGCTTCCACCACCGCTGTGCTGCCTGTTAAGCTCAACACCACATTCATTAGCAGCAGTAACATCTTCTTGTTCTCTTGTTTGGGTCTGTCCGGTACTTTCTGCAACCTTGTCGAGCTCCAACGTTGCCTGCGTCCTTCCCCCTTCCATCCGCCGTCGTCCCGATCCACCCGCACGCAACCCCCAGACCATTCCGCCGAACTTCATCGAAGCTCAGACATCGACAACAGCGACCCTTCGGCCGGCCCTCCCGTTATGCATTTCCCTCGACCGCAAGCAGCTCTTCTGCTAGCCTTCCTCTTCTCCTCGCCGGCATTGGCGGCCACCATCGACTGCGAACACATCCGCGTAGACGATGTCTCCTTCAACCTCAAGGCCCTGGGAGGCCCACACAGCGTCGTGACTAGCCGCTGGCACCCCCCGACCTTCACGAACACGTCCTACACCGTCGACATCTGCAAGCCTCTGAAGCGGAAAGGCGACGTCAAGAAGGAGGAGCAATGCCCCAACGGCACGCGAGGTACGCTGCCTGCCTGCTCCTATACAAAGCCAGGACATTTGATCGATTACTAACACCGCGGAAAAATAGTCTGTGCCATTGAGCGCACCGTCCACCCGGGCAACGACAAGGACAAGGACGAGGTCGAGAAGGTGATTCCGATCGCCGGCGAGCTGCAAGACGTGGGCGGCAAACCCCTCGATGCCAAGGTCGAGCGTCTCAAGTCCAGCGACTCCAACTCGGACGCGAAGAAGGAAGGCCTCCGTCTCATCCTGAACGGCGGCTCCTACCCCTTGACCAGAAGCGGCAGGAAACAGAAGGCCATCATCGAGTTCATCTGCGACCGCGAGAAGACGGGTCTTGAGGGAGAGGTCACCTCGGAAGACCAGTACGATACTGCCACGAAACTGCGCGCACGTGACGACAATGACGACAAGGACAAGGATAAGGACGGTGATGGGCCATCGCCCGACGAGAAGCAGATTATGGGAAATGGCACTGCCTTGATCTGGAATAGCTACAGTCCTGCCGAGGGAGATTTTGATGTCTTGAGAATGACTTGGCATACAAAGTACGCCTGCGAAGACGCGCGGGACAAGCCGGACGAGAACGGTGACGCGAGCAGCCACTGGGGCTTCTTTACTTGGTTTGTCGTCTTGTGAGTCCATCCCTTTCTCCAGGTTTACCTTCGCCAGCTAACAGTTTCTGTGTAGGGCTTTCCTCGGTACCGCCGCATACCTCATCTTCGGCTCCTGGCTGAACTACAACCGATACGGTGCTAGAGGCTGGGATCTTCTGCCCCACGGAGACACGATCAGAGATATCCCGTACTTGGTGAAGGACTGGACACGCAGTGTCCTCAATACGGTGAACGGCAGCGGCAGCCGAGGCGGCTACAGTGCCGTCTAAATGCGCTCTTTTCACGGGTAGTTGGCATAAGCATGGAAGTGTACATTTACAGTGTAAACGAGGTTAGTGACTGAGGTTTCCTAGGTGCATGGTTTCGCGGGTCTGGTTGCGACTTGGAGTTGGGCTGGTTTGGTCCCTGGGGCTCGTCGCATTAGCTGGTTCGTCCAAGAGAGTACTCTTTGATCCAAGTTTTGTTGTCCCAGTCTGTGATGCTTTTCGGCATGTGGGCTTTGCTATATGCTCGCACAGCGGCTGGCTACGCGAAAGCATGATCGGTGGTAGATCGACGCACCAAGTACTGTGGGGCGTGTCTTTTGAATTTCTCCAGAAATCCCCCGCGCCTAGCCACAACCTACCTTCCAAGCAACAAGTAAACAGTTAAAAGCCCCCAGATACCCATCGCGAACTGACAACTTCCCAGAATGAAATCCTCGCGCAGATTTGACGATGTACCGCTTCCGAGCGATGAGGACTTGACCTCGTCGCCACCACCATTCACTCCCCCTCCTCTCCCTCAACTCACAAACTCCCCACAAACAATCCCAGACTCCTGCCTCTCGCTCTCCATCCCTCTCCTCCGCGCCCTACACGCCCTCCTACCCCCAGCACCGTCCCTCACTCTCTCCATAGGCAGCGGCACCGGCCTCGTCGAGGCTCTTCTCCAGTCCCTCCCGGACGCCCCGCCTCTCAACCTCGTGAGCGTCGAAGTCGCGCCCAGCCCGAACAAGTATCACCGCCCGCACCACACCGTGCCGGGTACCTGGGCCGTTGAGGGCCTGGCGAGGGAGGCGGCGGCGTGGATGTTTGTGTACCCGAAGCAGGTGGCGCTGGTGAGGGAGTATATGCGGCTGTTTGTGGAGGGGCCTGGGCCGGAGGTTGTGGTTTATGTCGGGCCGCGGATGGACTGGGGAGATTTTGGGGGCGCGCTGGAAGGTGGTGGGAGGGAGGTTGAGGTTTGGGGGGAGGAGAGGATGGAGGAGGTTGGGGGGCGCGGGTGGGAGGTTGTTGCGGTCAAGAGGAGGACGGAGAGGTGAGTTGCAATGTTTGGAGATGCTGCGGCAGGCCTCAAGGCGAGGACGCCTCAGCAAGCGGTCTCGGGGAAGCTTGCGAAGGGCTCGCGTGTCGGGCATAAGTCGGAAGGATCGCAAGTCATGGCAAGTCTTGCCGGCCTCTTTCGGGCCTGATGCAACACTTGGCGAGAACGCCTCAGACGATGAGTACGCCAGACTGTGCATGTCTCACGGCAGGAAGTGGGTATTGCCAGACGTCGTCGTATTCGGGTTCTTCATTTACTGATCATCTCAATAGGGTCATCACCGCGAATGCCACGGGCGCGATGAACGATATGCCAGATGCCTTCCGCATTGTGGATCTGTTCGAATCCGAACACCAGGAAAACCAACAATGGTCCAGTGCGTCTGGTGGGAGCATTACGATCTTGCGCAATTTCGCTCCATGCTTAAGCAGCGGGCCTGCTGGGCCTCCAGATGAGATTCATCATATCATGTGGTCTAGATTTTATGTACTAGTATGGCTACGCAAATGCTAAGCTATGCCAATGTGTTAGAAACGCAGCCACCCCACTAAACTCCCTTTCTCCCGTCCATCGCCAACCTCACCAGCCAACTTAAGCCTCTCCTTCCTTCACCCTGACGAATCCATGCCCACCGAACGGACAGGAGAGATTTGCTGGATTCACCATCTCCATTACGAACACACTACGATGCAACCTCGGCACATATGCACAAAAGTCACGGCAGGTATTTATATATACATGGTCGAAACAGAAACGCAAGCCTCCGAGGTCAACTCTGAGAAGGCTCGTGGCCAGCTTACGCGCCGGCAGCCGGGGCGGCCATCATGGAGGCGGCGAACGTCGCGGCCTCGTCGGCATCGTTGCCGTAGGTCAGATGGGCGCGGCGGATCTGGTTGCCGCCCTCGCAGATGTTGTCGCCGTTGTGGCAGATGACCTTGGTTCTGGAGGCGTCGACACCCTGAACGGCCTGGCCGTTAACTGTATCATTCGTTAGTATCGACTGTGCAAACCATTTCCATCGCCTAAAGGAGTGACTTACGTGGGTCGCCAAAGATGACCACACCAGCAACCTTGGCCGTCATCTCTGCTGGCATCATCGCCGCGCCGTTGTGCACGAGCTGACCGCCCTGCGAGTACCCGGACATGATGACGGCCGAGTTGGGGCAGTTGGTGATGGCCTGCTGCGTCAGGGTGGCCATCTCCTGGGAGCCGTTGGCGTCGCCGCCGGCAAGGAAGCCGGGCACGTCGGCCGGGTACTCGATGCCCTGGACCTCGAGGTTGCCGCCGACCTGGGCGGAGAGCGCCTGGAAGAAGGGCGGGCCGGCGATGGTGCCGACGTTGCCGCGCTCCGTGGTGCCGCGGGCGAAGACGACGATCATGTTGGCGCACGCGCCGCCCTGCAGGCCGTTTTGCGTGTTGCCCGAGAAGTCGGCCTGGCGCTTGGTGATGGGGATGGAGGTCGCCGTGCCCAGCAAGGCGAGGAGGGCTGCTGATGTCGTGAGATGCATCGTGAAATGAGTGTGTTGTTGGCGGTGGTTGGAGAGATTAAATGACTAGGCGATGGAAGGAGAGGCTTAACTTTGAGATATCACTGGTCAGGCACGGGAAGATGAGATGGGCGGCGGTGTTGGATTCTTATACCGGAGATGCGGAAGACAAGCTTGGCCTTGGCATTTTCACTTTCAACGTTTGTACGCAAGCCGCACCGATATGGATACCTCCGGATGGACAGGCCACCGTGACGGGCGGCGAGGGAGGGAAGAATAAGCTTCTTTCGTTCGCTTATTGCGGTGTGTGTGATGTCGTCTGCTCCAGGGCAGCTTCAGGTACCGCAACCTCATCCCAATAGGGCAAGGAGGGCGGATCAGAGGCAGGGACCTCACGTGGGATCAGCCTGATGGCGACACTAGACGGGAACAGGGGAACAGGGTTGCCTCATGTTCAAGACGACAGGACTCGGGGAGCGTTCTCAGTCGTGAGCCTTCTGTTTGGCTGGAAGAAAGATAGGGCCGCGACATGTGGACCCTTGGAAGCTTGATCTGCCCTGCTGGGCGGGCTCGAGGCTGATCGGTGAAGCGGAATAAGAGTGAGGATGAGCTGCATCGGGGCCGGAAGAACAGACGGGGCTGGATGCGATTGGGCGTGGCCGTTTCATGGGTGTGGCCGGCCTGGTGTGTGTTTAGCCATGGGGTTTGAGCAACTCGAAACATCGGGCGGGCTGTGCGTCGAGGCCACCGGGGACGAGGGGCGGATAGGAGGCGCACCGAGTGCTTCCAAGCTTTTCAAGAGTGTACCAGCCTTGTTTTGGTGGGCTGAAGAGTAGGGAAGGTCTTGCTGCCCACAACATGGGACGGCGTGCAGATTTCGCGCTGGTGAACCAATGTGGAAGTCCTCCGCCGCAGTGGATTGGCAGGTTGCTATTCCTCTGACAGCGCTTTGTTCCCTCGTCGGTCTGATGTTTTCCATAACACTGGCACGATGTCGGCATGTCGTCTCGAGTCCGACCCAAGGTTGGTGTTAATTGCGCTTACTTCGCAACGTTCGGAATTCCCGACGGTGCGAAGGTTGACGTGCATCATGCTCTTGGCTCTCGACAGCTGGGCGCGGGAGGCCATGTACGTATGGTGTGCGCCGTCGGATTTTTGGAGGCCCGTTGAGTGTGCTTAACATCATCTCGAGTTTTCTTCGGGCGGTGTGACGGATCTTGTAGGGATGGACTTGTCCGGAGTCTAGTGAGGGGGAGATGCGTGCGGCGATGACTAAAGGGGTAGATTGTGATCTTACGTCGGTACCGAGACGCTGGCTCGGCATGTTGTCAGGGAGGAAGTGCGATTAGGTTGGAGGCGATTGGGAAGGGAGTTGACTCGCGATGACAGCCAGATGACACCGGGGAGTCGCCGAGGGAGTTTGAGTTAGGAGAGTCATTAGCTTGCTTTCTGTGCGAGCTAGTCGAGACACAACGTTGGGGTTATCCTCAAGAGAAACACTGCCATTCTTTGAGCAAGTTGTTGACAAAGAAACCGTTGTACAACGATTCTGAGGTGCAGCAATTCTGGAATGTGTCGTCACCCCAATGACGGCTGCAAACGGGATTGCGTTGAAAGAAGCTTGCGGGATTCGCGCTGCCAAGGGAAACATCCGGAAGATCGGCCCCCGCATCGACGCCACGGGGCACGGGAGCTTAAGTTTGGCCCACCTTTCGGTTGATATCACGTTAACTTTTCTGCCCATGTTTCCAACGGTCTCTTTGTGCCTGGATCCTCTTGACGTACGTTTTAGCCCTGAGCGTTGGACACCTGTTTTCCTAAGCCGATCGACGCGGCTTACCGATGATTATCAAGACACAATTCTGATATGAGAGATATCGCGGGCCTCGAAGTGGCCCAAGCTAGATCACGAGCTCGGCGTAAGGAGATTTGCCGGTTGTTGCTGCCGTGAATGTGAATAAAGAAATCTTCTGCTGTGCCTGAAGCTGTTCTCTGGCCTCGGCTGGTCATACATCCGCCGAGTATCAAACATTTAAAAATTGATGAATAGACAATGACAACCGAGAAAGCATCCTTGGCTAGCTCTCAACACCAGATCCTCAAACAAAACCTTCCAGATAACGATTCTAGACACTCTCACCTGTGTAACTGACTGTCCGGTTTCGACGGTCCTCCACTGCCCTCTAACCTGACTTTGAAGCCCTCAGACAGTCGTATTGGTTCCGCGCACAATATTAACCGGTCCTAATGCCTCGGGACCAATCTTGTCATTGACATGTTTGAGCTCAGCTCTGGTGATCATACCATTGCGATCGAAGTCCAAAATCACAATTATCTCCTCAACATGTCCATCGGTCCATTCATGATGGATATCTGTGATATCCACGTTGCAGAACACGCGGCCCCGGTCGTATGTGATGTTTGTATACCGAGTCTTTTGTCTGAATTCCGAGAAGAAGCCGGCAATCTCCAAGAGGTTGTGAAATCTTCGACTGGTGCCATTCTAATTGACGATGATCCGCATTCTTTCGTGATCACAGAGGTGGAAAAAGCCCTCTGTGTCGTGGTCGTGAATGACACGAATTACAAAGAGCCTGGCGAGAAGAACATAAAGGGGGCCCACGTGATGCCCAACGTAGTCTTGGGCATCAGGATCATTGCTCCATGAGGGGACCAAGTTCTTCAACCTGATCATCTGCTGTATCTGCGTTGGAGAAGGATTTGGCGTGGATGTGGCTGATCCTCCGAAGATAAGAGCTAGTCGACGCATCTGTTCTGCTGCAGCATCAAGACCTATGGGCCTTGGCGTTGCCGAAGAAACAAAAAATCCATTACGGATTTCGAAGTCCATCGGCTCAGGGAAAGGATTGTCCCAAGTGGACTCAGGTGTTTGTGCTCGGTGGACTGGCGAGGACATTGTGCGATTGTTGGTCTCTGAGTAGGCTTGCGGTATTGATCTATCAGTTGAGCAAATGTTGCAACCGAAATCGGAACTTCGTGATGGAAAGCTGGATGCTATAAAGTATCGGGATACGCAGTTGACGTTTTGGTATGCTGTTCGAAATTGGAGGACATTGGAAAATTAGCTGCCGACAGCATGCTTTATTTCAAGTAGCAAATGATTGTGACAACGTCAAATGCCGCTATCGAGCTGGCGGTGACAAGGTTTCGTTCTTTGATCAAAAGCCTGTCGATGAAATTTCTCCTTGCAGCTTGAATGAACAGCATCCTAAGATTACAACTCCAACGAATAACGGATTCGGCTTGTGATCAACCAAGTCTAACATGAAGACGCCCGACCTCTACCATCTAGCGCATAATACACCCCTTAATGGGATTTTTCATCTGCTTCCGGCGATTGTGCTTTGTGAAAAATCCCTTTGCAGCAATAAATGCGCTGTAAGGCCAGGGTCCCGGTCTAAGAATGTTTCCCGATTTGTAGCCACCTATTGCGCTGCCAGTAGATGTTTTTTGATGTCCGACACTCCCTGGCCGCGTAATATTAGGGTTG